AATATTTTCCAAATAAATGACTCCTAAGTGGAGTTCCAGATATCTTGTTCTAAATCTAAGAAGGAGGATACAGGCATAAAGAAGTAAAGAAATAAATGCTTCAACAAAATCATATTATCTTTTAGTGGTACGAAGATGGAACAGAGGTAGGAATATTTCATGTACTCATTGGGACAATTGGATCGGAAAAGGAAAACAGTCAACATCCACTGAGAGATGCTGAAAACAATGTGATCCTGATCGGGTAATAAATCCATCTGTGGACATGTTGGAGCGCGTGAAGTGTCCTTAGACGGCAGGAAGTGGTCATGGGGATATACATTTAAGATGGGTGGAAATTAGCATGGAGGGCCAAAGATGACTGCCTCAGAAGCATTAGTTTGTTTTTATTTTGAAGGCTTTGATGGGGCTAAGGTCAAATTATGCATTTGCTGTGCTCTTTAAAAAATAATGAGAACATCTGGGTTTAAATGCTTCTTTTCTCTTAGGCTACATTAATAAGCCAGTCTCCATTTTGAATGGAGTGTGGCAAGGAATGAGGCTGTTGGGAGTGGGGCTCTGTCTTTTCTGTAGAGAAGAGGTTAATGGGTCAAAAGCCTCGATCAAACAAAACCCCTAAGTGATCCCAGGTTGATCCAACGTAGTTGATTTGTGAGAAAGAGTACGTTAGCCTGATAAGCAAGCCTTGCTCAAAATGACCTTGTCTCAGTCCCAGGGCATTTCCTTGTTGGCTGTGTAGTGCCCTTCTCTTTGGAGCTTTGTGCTGACAGCCCCCAGACATCCCACTGCATCCCTGCCCTGTGAATGGGCAGACTAGAGATCCAGCACCAGTCCTCCTGTCTCCTGGCTGTGTGACCTCTGCCAAGTTACCTAAACATTCTGAGCCTCAGTTTCCTCATTCATAAAATGGGACTAAGCTCTGCATTTGGCCCTCAAAGACACTGGGTGTCTCTGGGGGGGCTTCAGCAAGATAATGATTTTATAGCATGTTGTCAGTAGTGAACCTCTGGACCCATAAATGGAAGGTCCTACTGTGATAGTTCCCTCTGGAAATGTGTGCAGATTTGTCTGTCCCCACATGAGGTCCAGGACTGGGTTTGGCTGGATGGTCGTGGTAGTGCCAGTCAAATTATGCATAGCAATCATTCAGAGACAGAAAATGAGCATCTGGATCAAACAGCAGTGTCTTTAGATTTAGGAAGTGTTTGGTCATCCTTACTATGCTTCAATGTAACTATGCCCATTCTCACCAGGACCCTACCTGCCTGAGCCTGTGCATGGGCAGAACTGACTGATAGCGGGGCCACTAGGGTAGACTGATGGAATGACCTCAATTAGACCTCTTTGGTACACTCTGCGTGTTTTGCATCCTACATCCTGGGGTCACAAAGACCTGCCCTTCAGCCTGGTTAAGGTGGAGAGCACATTGATTAAGAGTAGGGCCTCAGGAGTCGACTGTCATCAGTCAGAATCTTGCCTCTTTTCTTCCTAGTTGTGAGATGTTGAGCAAAGTGCTTCACCCCCAGGCCTCAGTTTCCCTTGCTTACAATGGTGAGGAGGGTGAGCATGATGGTGCTTCAAAGGGTAGTTATGAGGACGAAATGAAATACTGCATTTAAAACAGGAAGCACAGAGCTTGACTCACAGTAAATGCTCAAATAAGAATGTTCGTTATCCAGCTATTGACCCCAGAGCAGAGGCTGGGAGAGTGAAGAAGAGCCCTTGAGTGTTGGCAGTGAGAAGCCTCAAGCTTGGGCCCCTTTGCTCTGAGGAGAGTTGGGAGGCCTCACCAAAGGGCCCAGAGACATTTCCTCTTTTGGGGAGGCCCATGCCCTTCCGTGTGCAAGGACATAGCTGTGAGGAGACGGCTTTCCCTCCAGCACTTGGGGCCTGGGGAAGCGAGGCTCCCCTCTTCCCTTCACACCCCTACCTGAGTCTGGAGGGCCTTTAAGGTGCATCATCTATCCCAACACAGGGGCCTATTCCCATTCTCCTGCCCACAGGCTTGGGGCAGGGGCTGATGAGTGGTGAGGAAGTCCCTGGAGATCCACCCTCAGGGATAGAGAGGATGCTGAAGTTTAAAGGGATGCCAATCCTGCCTTCTAAGAACAGGGATGGGACCAAGCCTGTCAGACAGGTCCTTTTCTTATTTTATAGAGAAGCACCCTGGGCCTCTGTGCTCCCATCTCAGTTAAAACCCATTTTCCCAGCCCCCGTCTTCTGAAAGTTAGTTGGTAGTGAGAACAAATCACAGGGGTGAGCCTCCCCTGGGGCCTGAGCCTCTAACTCAGGATATCATGGCCCTGCCTTCAGGTGGACACAGTGAGAAGCTGCTTTGAGAGATGGACAGGTAGGTGTCAAGGAGAGGCAGGGTGCTCATGACCTTTGTGTGGTCCCCCAGTTGTGCCTGCTTCTTTGGGTGGCTCCTTGGGCCACATCTCAGTAACAGAGGCACTCAGAGGTCACACATGCAGGTGTGCTTGCATGTGCGCGCGTGCACAAACACACACACACACACACACACACACACACTGCCTTCCTGGGCCAGGGAGGTAATGCAAATGAGTGAAGTTAGCCAAGAGTAAGACAAATGGGGCAGAGTGGGTCTGTAATAGCCTGGAAACCTTATGATTTGTTCTAAGGGAGAGAATTTTCTAATTTTAGAAATACTTCCACTGGGTGCAGTCTTCCCATGCCCTGTCAATCCTGTTTTGGCTTTGGTGGTGGCAATGCCCTGTCTGTGCCAACTCATGGTGTGGGATGGAATGTGGGGGTGGGGCAACAATGGCCCTTGGGATCACTGGATATCCTAATGAAACTTCATCCAAAGGGGCTGGGTGGAGAGGAAGAGATGAACTCAGCCACCCAGCATCTGCACAGGACATGCTGCAGCCATAGCCACTGGGCCCTGCCGTCCTGGTGGAGTCCCCCAGAGCCTTGTGCCTGTGAAACCTCTGACAGCCCCAGATCCTGTCTGCAGAGGGGAAGGGGGTCTAGGGAGGAGGCCGCTGGGTCGGGAGCCACCTGGTCCTTGCAGGTGAAGCTTCAGGCAACCTTGGATCACATGGTTTTCCTAGCTTCTGGAGAACACAAACTCCTTCCCATAGGGGGACCAGGGGCCCCCTTAGGCCTCCTGGGGTTTCTGCAAAGTGATAGCCTCTGTCTCAAGTCTTATTTCCTCTCTAGCAGCAACGCCCCCATGAATGAGGCCTGGACTTCTCAACAGAGATTTCAACAAAAAAGAGGCTTAAAGGAATAAGGAATTTGCAAATCTTACATGCTGGAAACAGGCCAGGAGTTCAGTGACGCTGCAGGAAACTTGAGATTTTCCCAAGAGCACCAAAGCCCCTCTCTCTAGCTTCCTGCTTGCCCCCAGCACTCTAGAAAGCTCAAATAAGATTATTGGAAAGCCTGGCCATTAGAAGGCAACTCATGGTCTATTTTTAGCCTGGATCCTGTATCAAAACCAAGTGACAAGCATATCCTTAGCATTAACAGCAGCCCTTTGCTCAGAGATAAGGGCTGTGGTTAAGAGTAGTATGCATGTGCATGTACGTGTGTGTGTGTGTCTGTGGCTGCAGACCCTTCCACTGGCTGAGACTTTTAAACTGTCTTTTGCTAATCTATCAGAAGGATGGACACATCTTTAGAAAGCTTCCCAAGAGGAATAGGCCTCAGCTTTGGGCAGAATGTGGCAGAGGGAAGCATCCCTGTGCTGACAGCTAGAAGGGGTACGTTTTACATATTTGGAAACCAAGGCCTAGAGGAAGGCAGAGTGGACTCAAGACAACAATGTCAGATCAGGACTTGAACCCCATACATGAAAACCCTATTTAATGTTACCTTCCCCTCCCCAGGATGGATGGTTGGGGGCCTTGGTGGTCATTCCCTTTCACGTAGGTGACAAGGTGGTTCTCAGGGAACCGGCTACCCGCAGCGCATTTACTCAAGGCCCTCAGCAGAGCGATTCCAGACCCTTCCTCCTGTTTTCTGGGGAGAGCTTCCTACCCTGGGAAGCAGGGAGCTCTTTAGCCAGAGTCCTGGCCTTTTCAAAAGTCAAGGGACACAGGCTCCAAGCTGGCTGTCCCTCTGACCTGCAGCGTGACCTTGGGGAAGGTCACTGCCCCTGCTGAGCTCAGGTGCTCCGTCTCACCATGTGAGGGGTGGGATGAGACCTCCAGCAGCCCTTCCCGTGTTCACTCAGGGCCTCGATGCAGAAGAGCCCACCAGCCCAGCACCCTGGGAATGACACAGGCCCCCACTGGGCTCTGAACTATGTCCCGGGGGCTTCTCTCGAGAGATCTATGTCCTCAGTTCCACCTAGCTATGCTCAGTTTGTGCATCCTTGATCCTCCAAAACACCCGGCCAGTATGTCCAGTTATCTCCACTTACAGATCAGAAAGTGGCATCCCAGAGGGGCCAGGTGGCTCTCCCAAGGTCACACATCAGCAAGTGACAGGGCTAGGACTGGAGCCAGCACTGTTCAAGTCTGAGCTGGGGGACATTTCCCACTTTCCAAGACCCATGCGTAAAACTTGTGGAATTCTATCTCCAGGAAATGGGGCTGTGGTTTGAGTAAAACAAGAGGGGCTCCGTTGACCATTTTCATAACTATACAGTGAGGCATCCAATTCTCACATTTGCCTGGCACTTTACAACTTCAGCCCCCACCTCCACCTCACAACAGTCCTTGAGGAGGTAGAGCAGACCCCCTCAATTCATGCCACACATGAGGATGCGGAGGGCTCCCCAGGTCACAGGTGGTGGGTAGCCAAGGAGAGATTCATCACTGGGCCCCCTCGCCCCAGCCCCAGGCTCACCCAGGTACACTGCTGCTGCCCTGCAGAGCAGTGCTTCTTGAGGGACTGAGAAGGAAAGCGAGGGGCAGATGTTGATAGATGTGCCCACCTGTCCCTGACTGGCTTGCTCCCACCCCTTGGGTAGCCCTGTATGCTGTGCCCAGTGTGCAGGGGATTACAGCCAGGAGGTGGGGTCTTACCAGCAGCAGTGGCGATGCCTAGGAGCCGGCAGGTGTATTCCAGCCCGGTCCAGAACACCTGCAGTTTCATGGTGCCCGGGTCAAGGAGAGGGTCCCAGCAGGGTGGGCAGTAGAGGCTCTGGCCCGAGATGCTCCTGGAAGCCTATGTGCAGGGGGAGGCTGTGGCTGCCAGCTCCAGGCCCCCGTGCCTGGGGGCCCTGCCTTCCCAAACAGTCCGGGCCACCACAGCCTGGCTGAGGTGTGAATAGGGCTCACCTTCCTTGCTTGGGCGACCGTGCCCTTGCCTGGCGCTCAGCTTAATCATTACCTTGGAAGAATTCCCCTACTGCTCTGCACAGCCCTGGCCTGGCCTGGAGCCGCTGTGGCTCCAGCGCAGCCGCCTGAGATCAGGCCGATTAGGGCTGGGCTGGAGGCAGCCTGGGGCTGGCAATTAACCATTTCCAGCGGGGAGGAGACAGACGAGGACCCAGCCCAGTCCCTTCCTTCCTGGGCAGCTCTGAAAAAGTCACACCTGGACCTCAGGCCTGCGGGGGCGGGGAGAGTATGTCTGGAGGTGATGATGTGCATGCAGGTTCATGTGTGTGCCCCTGTGAGAGAGGGGGATGTGTCTTTAAATCACCAGCAGAAACAACTTTTGAAATGAGTTCCAGGCTTCTATTCTTCCGCATATAGGTGGATTAGAAAGCTTTCCAGTCTGTGGTGGATTTGAACTCTGACCAGACATACTTAGCTCAGGCCCACGCCACACATGGACCTTCCTTTATCCCCAACATGCATCCCAGACGTGTGATGTAGGAAATTATCATGATTCTTTGGGAGGAGAGTTGCCACGTCAATAATTAACTGGGTGACTTTGGCGAAACTCAAAGATATCTGGGAGCCTTAGTAACTTCTGCAGAAAATGAATGAGAGGGTTTGGCTGGATGGGTGGTTCTCAAGCTGTGTTCTGAGAGCTCCGCCAAGAAGCCTAGCCTCTAAAATTTGACAATCGTGGGCTTTTATTAATTCTTAATTTACTGACTGATAGAACGCATTGAATGATATCAAGTTTTAATTTTCCTCCCAGGCATTTTTCTGAAATCTTTGACCTGTTTGCTTGTATGGGATAGACAACAAAACAACCAAAAAAAATTCAGGGGAAAAAGTCCCCCAAACCAAATTACAATAATAATGGGGAACTCAGGCATAGTCTGTCTTGCTTTTTTCTTTGGTGAAGATGAATAGACCCTCATATAATGAATAGATATTTTTTGCTATTAAAATTATTCTAATTTGATTAATTTGATCAAGACTTCATAGCATCCATAAAGACTACCATTTTCTCATCTTGCTTTCTGAATGAGTTTAAGAACCTCTGTGTTCGTGTGATCCTCAAGACCAACTTTAAAAATGTTTGATTTGACATACTTATTTCTTGAGTTAGCTGACTGTATTTAATAGCAGACTGTTTATCAACTGCAGACTCCCCAGTTTTCCACAGGTCTTGATACCTGTGTACCCCGCCCCCAGATGCTGGCGCCCGGATCTCTGTGGTACACACCGACCTGCACAGATGTTGCTGCTGGGGCCTGGGCATCAGAGCCCCATGACTGGATGCCCTTTAGGAGCCTGTTCTCTCTGAGCTCCTTGGGAAGCTCTGCTGGCCCCACAGCATCCTTGCTTCTTCCTTGAAGTTCTCCATCTCCCCCAAGCTGAGCCTAGTGCACAGGAAAGTGCTTCCTGAGGAAAAGGCTGTGGAGAGAACTCAGTTCAGGCACTACCCACCATATTAGGCAAAGTGCTTTTAGCTGTTAGGAGGTTAGGGGTGTTCTTCCATCCCTGAAGGTGTCCCTGCTTCACTGGAGCTGCCTCCTAAGAGGGGTGGAAGAGTTGGGTGTTGGGCTGATGGTGGAAGGAGTGTAGGGCTTGTGGCAAAAGCAAAATGTGGAGGGACCCAAGAGAGAGCCCCTCTTGAAGAAACTGCAAAGAAGCATCCCACAGAGTTTCTGAGTCCTCTTACTACCATTCAGCCATCTATGGAGCTCCATGGGGAAAGGAGAAATCTGGCTGGGCAAGCGAGTCCCTTTGACCTCTCAGAATTCAGAGAAAAGACTGCCAGGAACTAGGGGGCCAGAGACTCTAATATGGAAGAGGGCAGAGAAGGTGGTGAAGCTCTCAGACATTCAAGTATGACTTTGCAGTCACTAATTGCCCAGAGGAAGAAGAGAAGGGACATTTCCCAGAGAACTCAGTGGACCGCCTAGGGAGCTCGTGGAAGGCTGAGAAGGGGGCAGGATAGAGGGAAGGACAAGGAACTGTGGAAGGCTGTGAGGAACCTGCAGAGTGTGGAAAAGTGCTCTGAGCAACAAAAAGGGAGTCTCAGATTACAGCAGCACAGGAAGCAGAGTTCCAGGGACCCTGCTGCTCTGGACAATGGTAGAGAAAGCCCAATTTCAACCTCTATTGCGTCCTAAGGAGTCCAAACTTGCATTAGGGGGTGGAAACTATGGGCGAAGCTTTTAGCTCAGATAGGGGAAGGTGCTCTGACAGTCAATCATCCCCCGACTGCTGAGATGGCTGAGGTCATGAGTTCCCCGGAGCCCACATGAATACTGGGGGGATGCGGAAGGGGTTGGAGTGACGCAGTGTGCAGTTCTCAAGCACTGATTGAGCAATTATGTCCCAGGACTCTGGTTCTGGACGGCTAGGATTCCTGGAAGAATCCAGACAAGCGCTCGGAGGAGTGCAGGGATGCCACCTAGAACACAAAGGAAGAGAGCCGGGGTCTCTTACCTTGTCTGGCTCCTCTTCTGCCCATCTGCCTACCATCTCTGGATGCCCGGCAGGGGCAGAGAGCAGAGTGGGGAGAGAAAAGAAGAGGTGCCAAGCTCAGCTCTGCAGTTACCAGCTGTGCAGCCTAGGGAGTTCCTTACCCCCTCTCAGTCCTAACCTCCTTACCTGTAAAATGGGTCTACAAGGGGTCTTACTGGGTTAGATGTACTGTGTCAAAAGTACCTATGTAGAGCAGATGCCAGGAGATGGGAGCCAATATGAGTGAACAAAGAAAACTTGACTGTACTGTGGCCAACCCAAGGTATGTTTTATTAACTCAGGATTCCAGCCATTGAATCAACAAGACCCCAAACTGAGGGCACAACCTGGCCCTGACCCCATGTAGAACCAGGGTAAAGGGAGTACCTGATCTTTGGGATGACAGGGCTCGTCCAGAGATTTCTTTACTATGTTGTTTCATTTCCTTGTATACCAACCAGAGTCCCTGTGTGCTGCAGCCATAGAAAGGCAGGTTGACTCAATCACTTAAATAATCCAAGTCCCTTGGTGATAGAATGTCCTGCCTCCACAGCTGTGAAAACTTGTGCTGACATCAGCAACGATTCTAGCAGCTGGTGTTGGCTCAACAGTAACTGCATTCCAGGAGCTGTGCTCACTGCCGTACATGCATGTCTATTCTTCTTCTTATTTACATTTTACAGACGAGGAAGCACAGTCACATTCGGTTAAGTGCATTTGCTCACGCTCACACAAAACAGACATGAAGGGATGATGAGTCCAGTGCTCTCAGCTCGGCCCCTCTGCTGCCCATTGTGGTTTTACAGGTGCCTCTGTCATAAAGTGGCCCAGCCAGAGGAGACCATCCCAGGAGCCCTGGGGCAGATCATTCAGGTGAGTTTCAGGTGGAAACTGGTGTTGACTTGTTCACTGCTCCTAGATCTGAGGAGGCAGTGGTGGACTCGCGGAAGCTCTCCAATGTGTTCTCCTGATGGTGGTCCATGGGAATGAATGCCTCCAGCAGTCAGGCTGCAGCTCTCCCCCCACCTTGTCTAGAGCTTCTGTGTGTTGCTATAAATGGATGCTTCACAGATACTCCTCACCCTACTCCTCAACATATGGCATGGCCATAAATTGTGCATCATTAAAAAGAGTACAAAAATTCTGCATGCCCACGATGGCTCTGGGGAATGCGAGAAGTCAGGAAAAGATGAAATGTGAATATGTGCTAATCTTCATCTGTTGAGGATGAGGAAGCTTCCACAAAATAGTAGGAAGCTCATGGGCATAGCTCAAAGCAAATACCTGGCCCTGGAGAAAAATCCCTGGAGGCAGTCTAAGCCTTTGACCTCTTCAGATCCTTTTGTCACCTCACCTCTCCTCTCAGTGTCTGCAGAAGAAAATAGAAACCCTCAGGCCTGCACCCTCCAAACTCCTTGCGTTCCTCCTAATTGCACCCTCTCCCTCACCTGTTCTTTACTTCCAGCGGAGGAAGAGGGGTTAATCCTTGTACTTGTGCTTTCAATTGCTGTCCTTGTGTGTCTTCTGGGATCTGGGACCCATGTCTTCCAACTTTTCCCTCCACCTGTCCCCTCTACTCATCTATAGCTAAGAGCAAAGCTTTCCTGCAAGACACTGCTTTCCCCTGCCCACCACATGTGGTCTCTCTTCCCTTCATCACCTAGGTTTTTGAAAGTGGTCTAAATTTACCACTGTCTCCGATGTCTTTGTTTTCCATTCCCTTGTCTATCTACTGAAATGTAGTTTCTACCTGCTTCCACGTCACTATGACCACACTGGCCTGACATCTGACCACCAGATCCAGTGGCCTAATTTCTGTGCTCATTAAGCTCCACCTCTTGGGATTTTTAGCATTTGAAACTGTTAACTGTTTCTTCCTTCTGGAAAAGCTCCCTGTCACATTATCCATGGTAATCATCCGTGTGAACTACATGCATTAGGGCTTGCATTCTTTCTACTTTCTCTGTGTCCTTTAATGAGTCCTTTTTCTTTGCTGTTTTCCTAGTGATGATCTGTGGTGAGCAGCCTCCAGATGGTCTCAATGATCCCCTCTCCTGGTATTCACACTTTGTATGATCTCCTCCCGCATTGTACTAGGGTTGGTCTGTGTGACAGAACAGGACAGAAGAGGTAGCATGTCAATCCCAATGTTAGGTTATAAAAGACACTACCTTGGTCACTCTCTCTCTTTTAGGGGAAGCCAGTTGCCAGGTCCTGAGGAACCCTGCCTAGAAGCCTGCATGGCGAGGAAATGACATCTCCTGCCAACAGCAGCCATGTGAGTGTGCTTCAAAGCAAGTGCCCAGCCCCAGTCCAACCTTCAGGTGAGTGCAGCCCCAGCTGCCAGTGTGACTGAACTCTCAGGAGAAACTCTGAGCCAGACCCACACAGTTGTTTGTTCTTTCAAGTTGCTAAGCTTTAGGGTAATCTGTTACTCAGCAAGAGTGAAGTAATATATCATTTGGAAACCTCTTTTCTCTCATCCACTCTCTGCTCGTCCTGATTATTTTCTAATTCCATGGTTTG